TAGGGTCTAGGGTCTAGGTCAGGTCCTCTCAGCATTAGAGGCTTTAGGGTTTAGAGATCCTCAGCAGTATTCCCTCATTGGGTTTTGGGCTTCTTAGTATTCAGTGCTGCGTGTGTACTGGCTAGACCCCACACCAGTGGCAAAAGGGCTTCTTGGTATTGAAGGGTTTCGGGGTTCGGGTTTGGGAGCATTTTGGGGTTATCACGCAGGTTTTCTTAGCATGTAGGGTTCGCTTAGTTCGGTTAGCTGTCTTTATTTGCAACTATATCTCTTAAACTTAGACATACCTTGTTCACGAGTCCTTACAGTCCCGATCCTTGCTTTGAGTATTCTGTATAGGGTCCGCCGTGCTGTGAAATTCGAACGCTTGCTTCTTAAGTACTTCTCAACGAGTGCTGATCAAGGGATGTTTTGGTACTTTAGGCGTGAGGTATGATGGCAAGCTAAATAGTGGCATAGTCTCCCCCTTTCCCTCACACACACCCACACTGCAAACAGAGACCGAGAGAGAGAGAGAGAGAGGAGGACGGCAGGAAAGCAGACGGGGACCCGACGGAGAGAGAGAGAGAGAGACGGGGGGCGGAAGAACAAAAAGAAGCGAAGAAGCAAACAATAACGACAGTGTTTATTCGGATCGCTACCGACAGCAGCTTGCGGCGATTGATACTTTTTCGGGGTTCCACAAAAAACCCTATTCTAGTTATTAACGCCCCAATCTTACCTTGCAGGTTTGCGAACAACGCAAGACCCGCTTGGTGCTCTGTGTCCTGGGCTGATGATGCCGTCGATTTCTCTTGCTCGTGCGAGGATAGTATTTCAGCATGTACTGGTGCTCGGTTAAGTTTAGCAATCTTGCGATCACCTAGCCGAAGGCTGCACAGACTTGACGTGCCGGCGTGCTGATTGACTGTGTCTCTTATCCGCGGATATTAAATGCACACAGCACCAGCAGTATGCCCAAAGATGCTGCAAACAAAGCTCCGAGTCAGTAGGGTGATCTAGCTTCAGCTTCCCAGGAAGGACCTCAGTAGTTCGCAGACGTCTTGGAACGTTGTAATCTGGCACACGGATGCTTCAGATGAGCCTTAGGGAGCAAACCCTCGGGCCCTTTGGGTTCTGGGTTTAGGCTTGAGGGTTTAGCACTCGAACTTTAAAAATGAAAGTGCCCAGCGACTCTTGCAGTCATGGGAGTCAGCGCAACCAGCCATGGTGTTAGTTTTGTTCGCTGACGCACCAACACAGCGAAGCATGTACTAACCAAGGCCATACAGAAACGACAAGCATGGTCGTGTGAAGTTTTGTGCATGTACAACAAAGCGCAGATTGACCTCGTGGGTGCTTGCGCCTAGGCACTTTGATCCCGATGACAACCAAGTGCGGAAAGATGTTGCCGCCGGGCAGAGCTAACTTCGGGTTTCCAAACCCGTTTCCGGGGTCGATCCTTGCTTGCGAAGCTGAGGTTCTTAACCGCACATGTAGCACATGCTGATTGCAAAGTTCTACCCATACCGAAACCCTAATTAGGCCCTAACACCCCAAAGCCTGAACCCTGTTCCCCGAAACCCTCAACCTAGACCCTAAAGCCCTAAACCCCGACCTTTACATGCCAATCACGTGGTATGATCGTTTGCAAAGGGAACTGGAATGTGCATATAGGTAGGTAGGTAGGTAGGTAGGTAGGTAGGTAGGTAGGTAGGTAGGTAGGTAGGTAGGTAGGTAGGTAGGTAGGTAGGTGTATGACATATGAAGTAGAACTTCTTGCAATATACAACAGAATAGAATAGTATATAATGGACTATAGTACATTGAAGCATGTGGTACTATGGGATACTGTAAGATACTAGAAGATACCTTAGTAGACTATAGTATGATACGTCATAGTGTAATACAGTACAAATTTTGGCATGGGACAATATAATCCGCTAGAGTACAGATATGACATCATATAGCGAAGATGTACTTTCGCATAGTGCAGAATACTAACCGTATAGTAGAATGAAACACTGTAGTACACTACAGTGTAATGCACCTTGTTATTATATAGTTTAGTTTTATCTTAATGAACAAACGATGAAAATGCAACGATAAAATAAACAAATATGAAATAGCATTTTGTAATATAATATGGTATGATATGATAGAAAATAAGAAAATATAGTGCAATATTTTACTGAAATGCAATATATCATATCGAAATTTGATATATAATGATATAACATACTCTAAGATGTAGTTAACCGTGTTGTGCCACATTCTACAATAACATAACATATATTATACAATAGGCTCACACATATCATATAATATAGTAAGGAGTAGTATAATATAATAAAATATGACATAGTATACTGTAATAACCCCAACAAAGTGCAAAACGACAAATTTTACATAATGTTAGGTCTTGTAGTGTAGTATCATGTAATATAATGTATGATCAAATAATGTAAGGTCGTTTAATATAATATCGGACAATATAATATTCCACAATATGGTGTAGCAGAATATGCCATGATCTAAACACATTAGCAATGTAGGAACCTTGTCTGGCCGGGTGGAATAGAATACCGGATGGTTGCACAACCATTATCCACACATGATCAACAGCTGTTGAATTCAGCGTGCATCTTGCCAGGCTTTTGTGGTTCAGGGCTGCCAGTGGCGTCGATCCAGTTGCATCAACCAAAAGGATTCGACTATGTTATGTAGGAGTGTGCAGGGAGTGGTGTACTTGGGACATCCTTATAAGGCAAGGATCCTATAAGAACGCATAGAAGCCTAGCTAGAGCCTGATCCCTGCTCATTATCCTCCCCGATTCGTTGGGACCTGCCCTCCGACCCCAAAGGCATCGCCCAAAACTTGAAACTTTGGGGTTTAGGGTTTGGGGTGTAGGGTGTAGGGTTTAGGGTTTAGGGTTTAGGGTTTAGGATTTAGGGTTTGGGACTGAGCATCCGAAGGCCCAAACTAAGCCCCACACCGCCCCCCCCGAAACTCTGACGTCGGCACTAGAGCAGGCAACCAAAACGATTCAAAAAAACAGCGTTACTACGAAGCCAGTGCCTTAGCTCCTAGCATGAGACGAACCTGATACAACCTAAAGCCTAAACTCTAAAATTTGTCTCGAACCTGGTACAACCTAAAGCCTAAACTCTAAGCATTTGAGGCTGTCAAAAAGGCAGTCGACCGCCTAAACAGCCAGAAAGCGCCTCTGCTCTGAAGTCGGAGGCCTTGGGTCTCCTTTCTTTTGGGTGTTTTGGGTTCAGGGGTTTCTTAAGGCTCTTAGGGTTTTTTAGGGGGGTTTTGAGGTTTGGGTTTAGAGTTTAGAACTTAGAGTGTTTTGGGTTCAGGGGTTTCTTAAGGTTCTTAGGGTTTAGGGGGGTTTTGAGGTTTGGGTTTAGAGTTTAGAACTTAGAGTGTTTTGGGTTCAGGGGTTTCTTCAGGCTCTTAGGGTTTAGGGTGGTTTTGAGGTTTGGGTTTAGAGTTTAGGGCTTAGAGTGTTTTGGGTTCGAGGCTTTTAAGGTTCTTAGGGTTTCGAGGGTTTTTAGGTTGGGTTTAGGGTTTAGGGTTGAGTTTTTTGAAAGGGATCACTGAATATCATCGTTTCTAGAATGGGTCAGAGGGGGGGGGTAGAGCTACGAGATTCCAGTTTCAGAGTTCGCGGGCAGTTCAGGAGGCCAGTTGGGGGGGGGGTGTGGCACTGGGGCACAGTGCAAGGGCTGCAGATGACGCTTCAAGGCTTTGAGGGTTTTGTGAGTCCAGAGCTCAGCGGCTCGACCTTATTCATAAAAGGCTAGAGATTTCTCAATTACTTTGCGAACTGCCCTAAGGCTCAACCAGTCATCCTCAATCTGCTGGCAGAGTCCAAGACCCCCCCCCCCCCCATGGTCGGTTCATCGGGTGCTCAACGCAGCCACAATAACCATAAGCACTGATTTGGCTCTCCCGTGGCTTTCTTGCACGCCGTGCGACAAGATTCGCAAGCCAAGGTCACATCCTATGCAGATGTTGCAACCATCGTGGGTGTCCCACAGAATGTCTACCTCGACTACATACGCAATGTGACCTGCCGAAAGATGCAAGTGTTGCCCTCATGGAATTATTGTGGGTTTTGCCTTGAATTGAAACCTCTATGAAGCCCCGAAAATCCCAAAGCGCAGCAATCCTGACGGCCTCAGGCAAAGCTGGACAGGGATTACACCCGGCACTGGCCTCCCCCTCTAAAGCAAGAGAAGCCAGCCTCCAGGCTTTAACCCTGAAATGATACCGAGGCATAGAGCACGGTATAGTTAGATGAAGGAACCCCAAACTCTCTAATACAGGTTGTTATTGGGTTCTTGCTAAGGAACTTGTTAATCGTTGCCATAATCGATGCACCTCCGGTGCCTATCTTAAACAACGGTCATCGGCAAGAGCCTTATGAAGCACAGAAAAGCCAAATTCTGCGACACCTCGTCCCCAACGCCCAGGAGATCGACACAGAGCAAAACTTTCTCCAGCTGCCCTGGACCATTCTGCTGTTGCTGTCCTTTACGGTGCTCAGCATGGGCTTGCTCCAGCAAGATGTGGAGTTCGCGCTGCAGGAGGTCGGAGCGGTCCACTTCGTTCAGAAGTTTCTATGTCCGAAACTAAGGGGTACCTTATTTTGGGATCCTTATAATAAGGATCCTACTATTTGGGGTACTATATTAGGGTCCCCTATTTTTGGAAACCCCCATGAAGCTTCGCATGGGCTACGGTAGACGTTGTTCACAAGACCTTGCAAGCGTGATTTCTTGAAGGCTGCAGGATTTCAAGGTTCCTGATGGGGCGCTGGAAGGGTTTGAGGGGTCGGTCTTTGATGTTTAAAGGTCCGAAGAATCCAGCACTTTGATGATTGGCTTGCGAGTCCTAGACCCTAAACCGTCTCTTGAGGGTGTGTATGAGCGCTGCGTCCGCGTAAATTTACATTGGCTCTGGCGCTTCAAGATTCGGAGCATAAGGATGTTAAGGCGGATCCTACGGGTAGCTACGGGCCCAAAGCTTGCATATGGATATTGGTGATTGCAATGTTGCGCTTTGCGCTGACCTTTTTGTAGAGCCAAAGTAAGTAAGATGGGTTCCAGGCTTGGTTATCTTTCCGTGTTCTTGTTGCGGAACTTGCTTGAAGTGACCAAACTGGGTAAGTTGTAAATACTCAGGTTTCTCTAGTCCAGTAAACCCTAAACCCTAAACCCTAAACCCTAGCTAGTTGTGCCTTAAATGTGCCTTAGGCGAAGAGGCGGTGCCCTGAACCCTGAAACCCTCTTTCCCTCTAAACCCGGAGCCTCCTAAACCCTACGCCCTCTAAGCCCGAAGCCTCCTAAA